TTTCTCTGAACTCTATTGGAGCAGAGAGTCTATGTGATGATGTCACAATGCATTAAAATTACATGATATACTGTCTGCATTGTTAAATTAACTGGGACCAGACATAGCATATTAAGAGATTTGTGACCACATAAGACACACTTCACTTGCATCACAAATAGACTACTAGGGTAATGCATGTTAGGCACTGGTGGAGATTAAAAATGACATTGCCTCTATAATATAGAAACAAGCGATAAAGGGAGTTTAAAAGAGGGTTGAAGAGGCTAGAAAATGGCAGGAGGAGGTAAAAGAGGGATGAGTATAGGGGAAAACATCTACATAGAGAACATGTTCTAAACATCTAAATGACAGCCCATTTATTTTTGATATACCATTTTGAAAAATGTTTGGATATTGTATTGTATTGTTGGATAACTAACATGAATCTTCCATATCATATTGTTGGTAAAAGAAAAATACTTTTTGTACAAATTGTTTGCAAGAACTCTGCACTCACAGATGTATTTTGCAATAATCACTATAATAAGCTGATTAAAGTGTCACTGTAATATACATATAATTTGTAATAATACTTAATTGATCCAGGAACAGTTTACCCTCTTGTAGGGCAAGTTCGATTTTTATTTTGAGAAGGCTGTCGGGAATAATTGCGGCAGTATGTGTAGGGAAATTACTGCTTGTAGTATAGAGGCCTTATAATAAAGGTACATATTAGAAAGTCCCATGCCTCCTTTAGCAAAGGGTTTTTGTAACAGGGCAAGTAGGAGTTGAAACCTATGATTTTCCAAAATAAAGACTTTAAAGACCTTTTGAATAGATTTACACAAATATGCCAGGATGGCAATGGGCAACAATCTAAAATATATAGCAATTGTGGGAGTATCATCGTTTTTATGGTATTGACCCAGGTAAGTAACACGATTCCATTTATTATTATTGTTATTATTTGTGACGAGAGCAATCTCGCCACATTGCATTGGAGAAGCCCGGTTGCTCGCCTGTTGCCTTTGGATTATGGCCCCATGTTAAAAGGCTTGATTTTCCCGTGCAAAGACAAGAAAGCCGGGTCATTTGGTGCTTGCCCTGTTTGAGCAGTGATACCCCAGATAGCTATGCCATGGAGCCCATTCGTATAATGAAAGACTATGGGAAAGACTTTGGCTCCATGGCAATTGAACTGTATGTGTGTGCTCTGAGCGCCATTCAGTAATAATGTGCGCTCAGACCTAAGCTATCTGGGCATATGTTGCATGTCTGTATTTTATGTCATAAATGTAACCTTGTGTATTTTATTGTATTTTACTGTCTTTTTGCTGCCATGTGTTCAATGGAGTTTTGCCTCTGTCTTTGGAGATAATTGGATTACTTCTAATTATCTCCAGGATAGAAGACTCTGTGGAACTGGTTTTGGGCAGAAAAGCCATGCTTCCTGTGGTCACAAAGGACTACAATCTATCTTTTGAACCACTGGACCAATTTGTATGATTTTGACGTATGTTTGGAGTATGCTGATTCTGAAAATGTTTTATGTGAATGTGATGCATACTTTTCAAGTTATGAATAATGTGGAAAAATTGTATTTCTCTACTTGTGCTAAATTACATTACCCATTGTGTAAGGTAATTGAATCACATGCAGAGGGGAGGAATTTGTGTGGGAGTGTCTGAGTGTATTGTATGTGTTTATTGGTTGTGTTCCAAAACCCTGTGGGTGGTACTAATGTGTAAGAATGTGTACATAAGCACAATAAACCCACAGCTCTGTCTGTTCACTGCTTGACCCCCAACACGGAGCCTTGTCTCGTCTTTGGGGGGGATTTACTGAATGCTGATAGAGACTGATTGCTAGGAGTGTAAGCCGCTTGGATGCTTTTCCTATTCGTCTGCTAGCAGCAATTTGTATGGTTCCTGTTCGTGTGTTTGGAGTGCTATATTGGATGCCGTTCGGGAGTTTGGAGCATTCCCTTTTTGGCGGTTCGTGTGTTTGGTGTTCTACAATAGCTGTGCCTGCATCTCTGGAAAAGGGGACGATCGCCTAAACGGTTTTTACCCCTTGTGTGCAAAACGGTCCGTTACATTATTTTATTATTTAAATAGCACCATCACATTCCGTAGCGCTGTTCAATGGGAGGACTAACAGACATGTAATTTTAACCAGGCAATTGGATGTACAGGAACAGAGAGGTGGAGGGCTCTGCTCAATGAGCTTACATTCTAGAGGGAGTGGGGTATAGTGACACAAAGAGTAAAAGTCGGGATACGAAGTAGGTTGTTAGAAAAGTAAAGTATTCATTGAGAGCTTAATAGGTGATTTTTGACAGTTGCAGGAGAGGAGTCATGGGGGATAAAAACCTGCTAACCTTTTAATTGATATGCTTTCTTAAAGAAGTGAGTTTTCAAAGATTTTTTGAATGAGTGGAGACTGGGTGAACGTCTTACGGAGAAGGCAAGGGAGTTCCACAGAAGAGGTGCAGCCCTGGGGAAATCTTGGAGGCGAGCTTTAGAGGGGGGCGTACGGACAGAGTATAGATGTAGGTCTTGGCAGAGCGCAGGGGCCTCGACGGGACATACTTGTGTATTAGAGAGGATAGGTAGGTTGGAGCCGCATTATGTAGGGACTTGAGCCCTATATCTAACTGGTAGCTAATGCAGGGACTGACAGAGCGGGGAGGCGTGAGAGGTGCGAGCGGACAGGAAAATGAGGCTCGCCTCCGCATGCATTATAGATTGCAGCGGTGCAATTTGGTAACACGTAAGAAAACTAAGAAGGGGATTGCAGTAGTGATTTCTTCAGTTTCTCTTTGCATTCCTGCACTATCTATATGTAGCTATATTTAAAAATAGCAAAACTAGAGCACTCAGGAGACCGTACCATCAATATAAGATAATCTGCGAATAACGAAATGCAGTTGTCTATTTCTTTAACAGGGCTACCCAGAATGTTTGGATCCTGAAAGGTTTTGTGGGCCAAGGGCTCTAGAGACAGCATAAAGAGAACTGCAGAAAGTAATATTGACGGAAGTAGAAACAAAACCTGTGATATGGTATCTGTAATATGGTAAGGGGAGAAGCCAAATTTACCCAGGACACTTTTTATAATAGACCAGTTCAGCCTGTCGTAGGCCTTCTCAGCCATCCCAACTATCCCCATATTGGAGATAATATTGATAAACTCTGGTATTATCTGAGCACTGACAGGAGCAAACAAATCTTGACTGGTCATTAGATATATTCTTTTATAGTATCAGATACAGAAGATTAGCAATAAGTTTGACGTACAGTTTAGTATTGCTGTTAAGTAAAAGACATGGGTCGAATGTCTGGACATTGGTCTGGAGATTTTCCTGGTTTATGGAGTGTAGTGATATGTAAAAAAAAAAAAAAAGCACAATAGACTCTAAGCACTTAATAACTGAACAGAAAGGAGGAGGAAGAGACAGCATACCTAAATATATGGGTGTGGCAAACCTAGCCACTTGTAATATTCAGGACTATGCACATAAAAAGGTTGCCTGTAGTATCCCTGTAATGTCTTGTATAACCTGGCTGTACAATGTGTGTTAATGTATGTGTACATTGAATTCGTATGCTAGCAGCCGAAAGCCGCTAGCATTCATGTGCTTCGTTTCACGAACAGCAACCTTACCGGCTGTTCGTGAACCGAATGAGCTACCCCCTAATAGCCCACACACAGGGGGACGTGTGGCGCTCGTTAACCGATTGCAACACTGTTGCAATCGGTGATTAGAGGCTTTCCTAGGTGTCCGTCGTTCGGCTACCGACCACGCGGATCGTTGGATTTAATATTGCTGCTCCGCTATAATGAGGCTCCCTCAAAACCTCTGGGAGCATAGCATAACAGAAAAAAAACAAAAGAAAAATCAAGTTGCACCTAGTAGTGGTGATAAATTATGATCAGCCAAAACCAATGTGTCAATTAGAACAATTGTATAAATCATGAGAAATAGTAATTGCCAAAAAAGCAAAGGAATAATAAATATGTTCTGTATATACTCGAGTATAAGTCGACCTGAATATAAGTCGAGACCCCTAATTTTACCCCAAAAAACTGGGAAAACTTATTGACTCGTGTATAAGAGTAGGGTGGGAAATGCAGCAGCTACTGGTAAATTTCTAAATACAATTATATCCCCAAAAAATTATATTAATTGAATATTTATTTACAGTGTGTGTATATAATGATTGCAGTGTGTGTGTGTATGAATGCAGTGTGTGTGTATGAGTGCAGAGTGTGTATGAATGCAGTGTGTGTATGAGTGCAGTGTGTATGAGTGCAGTGTGTGTGTTTGAGTGCAGTGTGTGTGTATGAATGCAGTGTGTGAGTATGAATGCAGTGTGTGTGTGTATGAATGCAGTGTGTGTGTGAGTGCAGTGTGTATGTGAGTGCAGTGTGTGTATGAATGCAGTGTGTTTATGAGTGCAGTGTGTATGAGTGCATTGTGTGTGTATGAGTGCAGTGTGTGTATAAGTGCAGTGTGTGTGAGTGCAGTGTGTATGTGAGTGCAGTGTGTGTATGAATGTAGTGTGTTTATGAGTGCAGTGTGTATGAGTGCAGTGTGTGTGTATGAGTGCAGTGTGTGTATAAGTGCAGTGTGTGTGTGAGTGCAGTGTGTATGTGAGTGCAGTGTGTGTATGAATGCATTGTGTTTATGAGTGCAGTGTGTGCATGTATGAGTGCAGTGTGTGTATGATGCAGAGTGTGTTTGTGTATGTGGTGCAGAGCCTTGGTGGGGGGTGGGCATTTTTATTATTTTTTAAAAATTATTATTATTATTTTAATATTTTTTTTGTTATATTATTAATATTTCTTTTTTATTTTATTAATATATTTTTTAATTTTATTATTTTTTTTAATATTATTATTTTAGTTTTTTATTATTTACATTTTTATTTATTTGTATTCGCCCCCCCTCCCTGCTTGTTAGCTGGCCAGGGAGGGGGGCTCTCATTCCCTGGTGGTCCAGTGAATGGGCTATGTAGGAGGGGGGCTGGCAGAGAGCTGTTACCTACCTTCACAGCAGCTCCTGTCAGCTCCCTTCTCTCTCCTCGGTCAGCTCCCTTCTCCTCCAGTGTAAGACTTGCGGCCGCGCGGAGTGTTGCCACGGTAACCAGTGGCAATGCTCTGAGCCCGCGGCTCTCGCAAGACTTACAGTGGAGGAGAAGGGAGCTGACTGAGGAGAGAGAAAGGAGCTGACTGAGGAGAGAGAAGGGAGCTGAACGGAGCTGCAGGAAAGGTAAGTAACAGCTCTCTGCCAGCCCCCAACAGGACCGCCGGGCTTGTAATGAGCCCAGCGGTCCTTGTCTGTATTATGGCAATGTAAATTGCCATAATACAGACATTGACTCGAGTATAAGTCGAGTTGGGGTTTTTCATCACAAAAAATGTGTTGAAAAACTTGACTTATACTCAAGTATATACGGTTTATACAATAGTAAATCTATTAATAAGAAACGATAAGATCAAATATACTTAAAATGATGATAAAAATTAATTTAAAATACTATTCTTCCCTTGGAGAAACCAAGATGAAACTTCTTGTTGTAGCTCAAATCTGTGGATACTCATAACAGAAAACAGAGATAGAGGGCATCCAGTAGTGTAGTATGTCAACTGAAATAGGAAACTCACAACCCATAGGTGCATCATTTACATACTCACGTGGATCTAAGACCAGCTCCAGTACGTATAGACTATAGTGGTATAAATCCCCACTTATGGATGTATAAGTGTCTTTAATGGACTTCAGCAACAGGATAGTGACCACAGAGACCATAAAATAAGAAAAAGAAAAAAAAATTGTGCTCTCCATATGGGTAAGTGAAAAGGTAATAATAAAAAGACCTTAAACAACATTTTAAGAGAAGTTGTACTTCTTACTTACCAGCATTTCCGAACCTAATTTTTTGCCCATGCACATCTCTAGTAGAGAGTGATTGTTAGGATGCTAGGTTAATATGAAATAAAAGTAATAAAATTACTAAAGTATGTAGCAACACCAGAAAAGGTAAAAAACACACAATTAAAAAAGCATCAAAAGGCTTCAAATATTAGGTCATGTGACTCGCTGAATCAGCCATGAGTCACATTATGCGGGAGTGGCCCAAAAACTTTTTGTGAAGTATAGACAGGGAGAAGAGGGGAGGGCCCTTTGGAGAGGTGGCACTGTATCTGATAACTGAGGGGGGTTGGCCAAACATGTAGACCAAATGGTCCACAGTGGTGTCCATATTGAAAAAGCAAAATAGCAATGTGATTTCCCAAGACCAGATCAGTGAGGATCTCAGCTCATTCAGCATCCGCTGTATTGAGGTATCTATTGCTGGCATGTGTGTGAAAGCACTGAGGTGGAATGATGCTGCTTTTCAACGCCATCTTGTGTTCTCGCCAGAGAAGCCGAGAGTAATGATACTTGGAGATGGAGTGGTTTGCTCTTTTGTTTTTTTCATAGATCTGTTCGTCATCTTGCCTCAATATGTGATCTTGCTATCATGGGCAATAAGTGTGGGTTTTCAAGCTGTGAAAAAGGCTGTATAGTGCCACTAGTCACGGATAGTGATGCACCGAACGGTTCGCTGGCGAACAGTTCCTGGCGAACATAACGTGTTCGCGTCCGCCGCGGATGGTGAACACATGCGTGGTTCGATCCGCCCCCTATTCGTCATCATTGAGTAAACTTTGACCCTGTACCTCAGTCAGCAGACACATTCCAGCCAATTAGCAGCACACCCTCCCTAGCAGACCCTCCCACCTACTGGACAGCATCCATTTTAGATTCATTCTCAAGCTGCATGCTTAGTGAGAGGAGGGAAAGTGTAGCTGCTGTTGATTAGATAGGGAAATGTATAGCTAGGTTAGGGTATACAGTGTCCACTACAGTCCTGAAGGACTCATCTGATCTCTGCTGTAAGGACAGCACCCCAAAAAGCCCTTTTTAGGGCTAGAACATCAGTATGCTTTTTTTTTTCTGTGTAATATAATTGCACTTAGTTGTCTGCCACTGCTGCCAGCTTCTGTGTCAGGCTCACAGTGGATACTGTGCCCAGTGCCACCACTCACTCACTGGTGTCACAATAGCTTGCATTTAAAAACAAAAAACTTTTTTCACTGTTATAGATTGAATAGCAGTTAGTTGTCTCAAAGCTGGTGTGTCAGGCTCACAGTGGATACTGTGCCCAGTGCCACCACTCACTCACTGGTGTCACAATAGCTTGCATTTAAAAACAAAAAACTTTTTTCACTGTTATAGATTGAATAGCAGTCAGTGTCCTTAAAGCGGGTGTGTCAGGCTCACAGTGGATACTGTGCCCATTTGCCCAGTGCCACGACTCATATCTGGTGTCACAATAGCTTAAGCTTGACATTTAAAAATAAAAAATTTTTTTTTCACTGTAATAGATTGAATAGCAATTAGTTGTCTGCAAGCGTCTGGGTGTCAAGCCAACTTCAGCGTGTGCTCTGCAGACCTCTGCTCGTGTACTTTGCCACTCATATCTGGTGTCTCTATAGCGTGCTTTTACAAAGAAAAAAAGTTTTTCAGTGTAAGCTAATAGCAATCAGTGTCCTTAAAGCGGGTGTCAGGCCTCCTTCAGTGTGTGCTCTGCAGACCTTTGCCCGTGTACTTTGCCACTCATATCTGGTGTCTCTATAGCGTGCTTTTACAAAGAAAAAAAGTTTTTCAGTGTAAGCTAATAGCAGTCAGTGTCCTTAAAGCGGGTGTCAGGCCTCCTTCAGCGTGTGCTCTGCAGACCTTTGCCCGTGTACTTTGCCACTCATATCTGGTGTCTCTATAGCGTGCTTTTACAAAGAAAAAAAGTTTTTCAGTGTAAGCTAATAGCAGTCAGTGTCCTTAAAGAGGGTGTCAGGCCTCCTTCAGCGTGTGCTCTGCAGACCTTTGTCCGTGTACTTTGCAACTCATATCTGGTGTCTCTATAGCGTGCTTTTACAAAGAAAAAAAGTTTTTCAGTGTAAGCTAATAGCAGTCAGTGTCCTTAAAGCGGGTGTCAGGCCTCCTTCAGCGTGTACTCTGCAGACCTCTGCCCGTGTACTTTGCCACTCATATCTGGTGTCTCTATAGCGTGCTTTTACAAAGAAAAAAAGTTTTTCAGTGTAAGCTAATAGCAGTCAGTGTCCTTAAAGCGGGTGTCAGGCTTCCTTCAGCGTGTGCTCTGCAGACCTCTGCCCGTGTACTTTGCCACTCATATCTGGTGTCACAATAGCGTGCATTTAAAACCAAAAAACTTTTTTCACTGTTATAGATTGAATAGCAGTTAGTTTTCTCAAAGCGGGTGTGTCAGGCTCACAGTGGATACTGTGCCCAGTGCCACCACTCACTCACAGGTGTCACAATAGCTTGCATTTAAAAACAAAAAACTTTTTTCACTGTTATAGATTGAATAGCAGTTAGTTTTCTCAAAGTGGGTGTGTCAGGCTCACAGTGGATACTGTGCCCAGTGCCACCACTCACTCACTGGTGTCACAATAGCTTGCATTTAAAAACAAAAAACTTTTTTCACTGTTATAGATTGAATAGCAGCTAGTTGTCTCAAAGCGGGTGTGTCAGCCCTACAGCGTGTACTCTGCCAGTTTACAGTGCCACTCATATCTGGTGTCATAATAGCTTGCATTTAAAAACAAAAAACTTTTTTCACTGTTATAGATTGAATAGCAGTCAGTGTCCTTAAAGCGGGTGTGTCAGGCACACAGTGGATACTGTGCCCATTTGCCCAGTGCCACGACTCATATCTGGTGTCACAATAGCTTAAGCTTGACATTTGAAAAGAATTTTTTTTTTTTTCACTGTAATAGATTGAATAGCAATTAGTTGTCTGCAAGCGTCTGGGTGTCAAGCCAACTTCAGCGTGTGCTCTGCAGACCTTTGCCCGTGTACTTTGCCACTCATATCTGGTATCTCTATAGCGTGCTTTAACAAAGAAAAAAAGTTTTTCAGTGTAAGCTAATAGCAGTCAGTGTCCTTAAAGAGGGTGTCAGGCCTCCTTCAGCGTGTGCTCTGCAGACCTTTGTCCGTGTACTTTGCAACTCATATCTGGTGTCTCTATAGCGCGCTCTTACAAAGAAAAAAAGTTTTTCAGTGTAAGCTAATAGCAGTCAGTGTCCTTAAAGCGGGTGTCAGGCCTCCTTCAGCGTGTGCTCTGCAGACCTCTGCCCGTGTACTTTGCCACTCATATCTGGTGTCTCTATAGCGTGTTTTTACAAAGAAAAAAAGTTTTTCAGTGTAAGCTAATAGCAGTCAGTGTCCTTAAAGCGGGTGTCAGGCCTCCTTCAGCGTGTGCTCTGCAGACCTTTGCCCGTGTACTTTGCCACTCATATCTGGTGTCTCTATAGCGTGCTTTTACAAAGAAAAAAAGTTTTTCAGTGTAAGCCAATAGCAGTCAGTGTCCTTAAAGCGGGTGTCAGGCCTTCAGCGTGTGCTCTGCAGACCTCTGCCAGTGTACTTTGCCACTCATATCTGGTGTCACAATAGCGTATTTAAAACCAAAAAACTTTTTTTCACTGTTATAGATTGAATAGCAGTTAGTTTCTTCTCTCAAAGCTGGTGTGTCAGGCTCACAGTGGATACTGTGCCCAATGCCACCACTCACTCACTGGTGTCACAATAGCTTGCATTTAAAAACAAAAAACTTTTTTCACTGTTATAGATTGAATAGCAGTCAGTGTCCTTAAAGCGGGTGTGTTACGCTAACAGTGGATACGGTGCCCAGTGCCACCACTCACTTGTGTCATAATAGCTTGCATTTAAAAACAAAACCTTTTTTCACTGTTATAGATTGAATAGCAGTCAGTGTCCTTAAAGCGGGTGTGTCAGGCTCACAGTGGATACTGTGCCCAGTGCCACCACTCAATCACTGGTGTCACAATAGCTTGCATTTAAAAACAAAAAACTTTTTTCACTGTTATAGATTGAATAGCAGTTAGTTGTCTCAAAGCGGGTGTGTCAGCCCTACAGCGTGTACTCTGCCAACCTCTGCCAGTTCACAGTGCCACTCATATCTGTTGTCACAGTAGCTTGCACGCATAGCACCACTAATTGAAAAGAAAATGACAGGCAGAGGCAGGCCACCCCGCAGGGGCCGTCGTGGTCGTGGTGCTGTGATTCCCTTTTGCCCTAGTATAATGCCTAGTTTTCAGAGGCCAGGTACCCTGAACTTGAAAAGTTCTGAGGACATAGTTGACTGGCTAACACAGGACACCCAATCTTCTACAGCTTCCGCTCGGAACCTTGACGCAACATTCTCCTCCAGCTTAGCTT